TTTTCATGAGAAGGATAAGGAAGGAAAGGGGGGATGATGTATTGTAAACCATTTAGGTCAATTTCTGAAAGAATAGGTTCACATATTTTATTTTAGTCGATAATTGAAAAATTCCCGAATCTATTGAAAGTAATATTTTCTGGTCTAAAAACGAAGAAAGTGTGATAACCCAGATAAAACGGATTTGTAAGTTATTTTAATTTTAAGATTTTGTTTAATACAGAAAAAAAGCTTTAATTGAAATAAGGAGGAAAAGGTGTAATTGCTTTAATTTCTTAAAACGTTTAATTGGAAAAATGACAGTTGAAACTTTCGATTTTTCAAATGGATAACAAAAATATTTTGATGTTTTAAGGAGAAATTTTCGAGGTTTTGACAAAAAGTTACAAAAATATATGCTGTAGGAATATTCCATTTGTCACAAATCCTTGTATCTTTTCATCCCGATGCTGTAGACCTTTCAAACTATAAATTCTGTTAGAAGAATAGTTTAAGTTTGAAATACAAATGGTTTAAACTATCAGATTGCAGAGATATAGGGATTAGAAAATAAGAGTCTGTGGCAAAAACTCAGTTCCATTTGGCTTAAATTATCCCCCCCCCCCCCTCCGTAAAATTTGATAAATCGATTCTGAAAATTCTGATAATATCAAATATTATTCTGATTGTAAACCGATTAAATTGTCTTGCGCCAAACGAGATTTGAAAACAGTAATAGTTGAAATCATATTTTCAAATTGTTGTGAAGATAACAGAATCTTATACTGTTACCATTAAACTTTAAATCTTTTAGAAATTAAACTTTAAGTAATCTGAAAAGAGGGATTTAATTTTATTCTCTTTATTGGAACAAAGAAAATATTAATATTTTATAATCTTTTAGAAAAAATAACAATTTCAAAAAGTTAGGGGCGTATGCAGGGATTTTTTCAGGGGAGAGGGGGGGCTAAAAACTTTTTTCTTTAAGGGGAGGGGGCTCAGCACCATTGGGGCCTGAAACCTCCATAGACAGTTTTTTTTTGGGTAAAAAATCATTAAAAATTATGCCTACAATCCTTGAAAGAAAGGAGACAAAATTCAACCTTCTTGTGCGTGGTATTTTAATGGTATATTAGGTCGTCAATAAAGTCTAATGCTTTGTTGTAAACCCTTTGCACACAAATATTAAACAAATATTACAGATTTGAAATATTTCAAAATTCGACACAACTTTTCCTGATGCACAATATAATTTGATTTATGGATAATATCAATATTGTACAAAATGTATAGTTCTTTAATTCCTTTTTATTAACTCTTAAATATTTATTTGATTCGCATAATAAATTTAAAATGAAAGAAGTAAGATATATGTTTTCTGTACTTTTAGTAATGCCAAATAAAAACAAACACTTGTTAGTTTTTAATGACATATCTGAAAGATTTAAATATAATAACAATATTCGTTTTTAAGCCAGTATATATAATAAAAAAGTTCGTTTTTGTAAAAAATTTTAAACTTTAAAATGAATAAATTTAACATTTTTTCACATGAATGTTATTAAATGGTTTGTTTAGCAAATACTAAGCAAACTGGGGCCTGGAAAGTCTATTAATGTTTATTAATGTTTCTCAGTATGGGAAAGACGTAACGTTATTGGTGTATTAAATACAATTTATGAATGTTAATTGAAACCTTGATATTTACCCTAAGTATAAGGGGAGTTATAGTTGAAAGTGATAACCTAATATGTTTGAGTTAAAAATCTAATGAAAAATTAGATATTTCTTAGATACATAACTGGTTTGCCCTTATTTAAAATTTCAGTTCCGACGAATACCTTTGACTGACATTTGATCAAATATGAGAATGTTTTTTATTCATTCATGAAAAAATAGACTTCATTTTCTCAACAATTTTTCTTAACATTCTTTTCTAAAGTGTTTTTTTTCTAATAGTCCAGTCTCTTCTATGATGTAGGGTTAAGAAATTGTTAATAATATCATAAAGGAAGTATAACTCCTAGTATCGGGTTTATTTATCAATAAAAGCTCCCACAGTCTTCAGACTAACTAACCCCGTGAACAATATATTGGAGAAATAAAAGGACTAATATAATTAACTATAAAAACATAATAAGTTTCTCATGGAGATTTTATATAAATTTGAAAAACTTATAAAAAGACTGATACCCTTGAAACATAAAAAATGTACTTCTTGTGAATGCATTGTTTTTTATTTTGAAGAAACAAAAAATAGTTTTTAATCACTGCAAGGTTGTTTTACAATGTACAATGCATATATGTCTCAAATGAATCCTTAAAATTTTGTCCACAACACTGCATACATACATTTTAAGTCTCCTAAGTTTCAAGAATAGAAATTGAAAGATATTAAGCAAAAAAGGTATGAAAAACAGTTTTCCAAATCTCAGCAAACAAAACAAAATTATATTTAAGAAAAAATAATTTTGTTTTGTTTGCTGAGTAATCTAAGAGAAACCCGGATACCTATCCCTTTAGTTTCTTTTTAGAATGAATATAAGACATTGACCCCCATTTTCTTCAATTCTAGAAATTAAAAGTTTCCAGGACCAGACATGATAATTTCTCACGTCCAAAACAAAGAGAAAACAAAGAATTTATTTGTAAAAGTTTTCTTCTGTTGTTCAGAACTTTGTAATTTCTAACATATCTTTACTTAGGTTTGTTATTGTCTTACTACATTAATTACCACATAACATGCCTTTCAGAGGAAACTAACGTAATTAAGCTAAATACAAAATACACATGTTTATCTTGTTACGCTAATTTTGTAACATAATTCTATTTTAAAGAGTTAATCAAAGTAAGGGAATAAATACTTGAAAGATATTTTTTATTAAATCATGCTATGGTCAAGGAATTGTATAATAAGGACGACTATTAAAGCAATGAACACTCTAGATCCACACATGACGTCCCTGCTTATTTTAAAGAATAATAAATTTTGCGACTCAATAAATATAAACGAACTCAAAAACTGAAATCTTCAAGGATAATTCCATTTTTAACTTCAAACTTGTTAGCATAATCAATATTTGTTAAATGTGATGATTGTTAGTTAAGTATCAGTGACGTCATAAAGGATTTATAGTCTCCATTGCATTAAGACGACATTTTCTACATTGGAGCGCATCCAGAGTATCTAACCATATATATACAATCTTGACTCTTGTATAGTGCAACGGTCCTCCCTGCAAACATTTAGTCTCTGACAAACCGATGGCGAACATATAAAACCCAGAATTATTTACCCGAAAACTTCGCCATCGGCACATAAAGTCGGTACAATTATTTCCTGGCCTAGCTGATTAAATTGTAAACTAAAACTGCAAGAAGGGAGCAGCATGTCCGCAAATCATAAACCAACTAATTTAGCAACTTGTAGGAGGTGTTCAGAAGAAGTTTCAAAATTGCCAAAAATTTGCAGTCGCAAAGAATCAGACTGCTATAGATGAAAAGTTGCATCATTTTAAAGTGTCGATACAACGTCGTAGCCTTATACCTTGTAACTTACTTTAGCTTTAGTTTTTAAAGTTGTTACTATTTGGTGCTCCACTCTAGTGAAAACTATGATCCATTATATCTATGCATTAATGATTATTTCTTGTACCACACATTTAAAATAAATGTAAAAAACTTTGACAAAAGACTGATCATGACCCCCATCTTGATATGTATAATGCGGGCAGTTTATTCTATCAGCATTCCCCCCAAGCCTATAATGAATGCGGAAAAATATATCTAATTATAAGGGTGCAGAGTGAATACACTTTTACAAAACTTAACTCAGTTATCACAACTTATGGTACGGTGTCTAATTCTAAAGCGATAATTTGAGCAAAAAATAAAATTTAAGCTATATTTAACGTATCCTGGCAAACTAAACATGTATTCTTTGTATCCTGAGGCCGAATTTAAAGAATTTGAGCCGCGGTTCAAACATGGTTGGTTCCACTTGAAATTGTATTTAGTGCTTCGAGATTTGAGCCGGCGCTCGAAATCGGAACCGGTTTTTGGTGGATCAGCGACGCGGTTTAAATTCTTTAAATTCGACCTCTGGCAAACTAAACCTGTATTCTCTTTATACTGGCAAACTAGACCTGTATAGTGTATACAATGTATCCTGGCAAACTAAACCTGAGTCCGAATTTAATGAATTTGAGCCGCGTCTCTAATCCGCCAAAAACCGGTTTCAATTGAGCGCCGGCCTGAATCTTGAAACATTAGATATTATATATTAAATATTTGAGCCGCGGCTCAAATTATTTAAATTCTGCCTCTGTATTCATTGTATCCTGGCAAACTAAACCTGTATTCAATGTATCCTGGCAAACTAAACCTGTATTTAATTTATTCCTGGCAAGCTAAACCTGTATTCAATGTATCCTGGCAAACTAAACCTGTATTTAATTTATTCCTGGCAAGCTAAACCTGTATTCAATGTATCCTGGCAAACTAAACCTGTATTTAATTTATTCCTGGCAAGCTAAACCTGTATTCAATGTATCCTGGCAAACTAAACCTGTATTCAATGAAATCTGTATTCTTTGTATCCCGGAAAGCTGAACCGTATTCTAGGAAATTTCTAAATTGTATTTCTGTTTATTGTTGAATTCTATGCTGCCATTAAAGAAAGAATTTAACTATTAACCCTGCTTCAGTATTTAATTTGTCCGGGTTAGAATTGGTTAATTAGTTAATGAATACTGCATTGACAAACTTTGTATTCTTAGAAGGAAGTGAAGGGGAGGGAGGTAAGGGGAGGGGAGGGGAGGGGAGGGGAGGTTAAATATTCTCCTACAAACCTTATCTAACTTAAGTTCAAAAATAAGATGTTTAAGCATGTAGGATTATAGTAGAGAAAGAAGTAATGATAAATGTGATATTGGGAACTTCTAGAGAATTTGAAATTTGTTAAACCTGAGCCTGCACTCCGACCAGAATACAAGGACTCACGGAGTTAAAAATATCTTCACCTATCTTCAGGTTGAGCTCTCAACAAGGATCGGAGTTGAGAAATCCACAGACACTCACGAACATGAATAACTAAACTGTTTAATGTATATAAACCCAACACTGCATTAAAAATGCATACTCATTTATACGTGGGACGGCTTACTCTTCAGTTTCTTTCCATTTCCTCAGTCAATACCATTTGTAGGCATAGAGCCTCTGTCTTATTCGGACTTTAATTCTATCTCCGCTCTTCAAAGTTTTTAAGGAATAAAATTCACATTATTTTTTGAAAAGATGACAAGGACGGGTATCCACCTTCTCCTCTCACTCCAGGTCCCCTCTGAACACTGACGGGTTGTCTGGTAGGACGGAGTCTCTGGGTCCTCTGCCCCGTCTTCCTCCGCTGAATAATACCGCAGTTTGTCGCAGCGTTTCTACCACTAGCACTTCAATAATATACAAGAGTAAACTTATATACAGAATATTTAATAATTCTGCAGATTCTCGTCGCTCCTAGCGCTAAACCCATCCGCATTAAACAATTTAAAGTTTAACATTTTGCCACATATGATTTGCGATAAACTCGAAGTTTGGTTTTCTTTAACTGTTGAAATTTAAATTCATATATTTACGCTTTCTAAATATTTTTCTATTTTCCTATGATAAAAACCATGAATTTTGTATTCAAAATTTGTTAGTATAGATTTATCCGTCACACTGAACTAGACAGAAGGAAATATGGTCAAATTTTTGCGAAATTACTGTTACGACTTTGTGACCTCGTAGATCCTCAAGTTTTGATTTTACAGACAAGATAATCTAATTTATCCCTGTGGAATATTAGAAATTCAAAACATTTTATTCTTTTCAATAACTATTTAATAAGAAGAGTTAATGCCTGATTGGGCCCGATCGGTTCAGCCGTTTTGACGTTTATTGGATACAAACAAACAGACAGACAAGCCAAATTTATATATAGATATGTATATATAAGATTTCAATTTTACATGGAAATTATTGTAAAATTTCTGGTTGCATAATGGTTTCTTGGCTCTAGGCTTCTGTTCATTAAAAACAATTAATTTAAAAGATTAAAAGATTACTCGTACAAAATATAAGAAAGAAGCTGTTAAAGAATAAATTTCAAATATGAACTTTAACTCGTTTTTTTTTCTGAATCAAAGAACATGTCGCAATGGTTCAAATTTTTGTCAAGATTGCATTAAGAGATCTTCTTTTATATTAAAGGGAGTGTTCGCGTAGGCTTACGGCGAAAAATTATCGATAGTGATCGCTACAAATCTTACTTCTATCTGGTGAGTCTATAAGGAGAAAATTGTCAAAAACGACTTATATCAAATTCAGAAAGTTGCAACATTTGATCGCAAAAAAAAACAATTTAATCGCAAACAAATCATTAAGATATTATAACCTGTAATCATCGATAATTTTTCGACGCATTCGTATAAAGTTGATATTTTATAAAAAAAAAAAAATATTTTTTAAGATCTGAGAGTTACTCTTGAAAACATTTATTCCGGCTTCGAGGATTTTTGATAATGAAGACGACATTTTCATATTTTCCAGGAATGTTCGAAAATCCAGCGCCAACTGTGAAAAATCTTGAAGTTTATTGTTTTCAATTATTGGTTCTCTTAAATGGAAAAGTTAAAGTACCTCTCACAGTCCCTTTTCCATTAATTAAAGTTAAACTATTGAACTGAATTAAGACCTTAGAATAATTAGTCTATCTAATTTGTTTAAACAATGATTGGAAATTACCTTAAATCTAATTTTAAACCTTTATTTAATACAACTTAGTGCCCGTCATTGCCCGTGGATTAAAAAAATCTAATTTTAAAAAATTCGAATTCTTTTTAGATTATGTTACCCCAAAGGTACACATGGGTTCCCTCTAAAAATGTCAGCCCAATCGGTCCAGCTGTTAGGTCAGCTTTAGCAAACATATGATGTACAGAGCGTCCCATATCATATTAGATTGCCTCCAATCTTTAACACCAAAATAAACCATTAATACTCGAAAAACTTATCATTTTCCGCAAGAAAATTCTTATATAAGCCTTATGTTATTTTTCAAAGTGATTCATTCTAATGAAATGTTCTAATTAGTCCCGAAAATCGTAATTTAGACCCGTTCTCGGTCTAATATGATGTGGGACACCCTGTATGATATATATATGACTGCAGAGCTTTATTATATAGAGAAAAGATTTAGATCTGTTAACAGTTAATCTTGCAAAAAAAGCAAAAAAGTGCAAGAATTGCCAAAAAAATTTTTGCTTGCTCTTTTAGAAATGTTAATAAATCTGAAAATGAAATCCATTTTTTATTTCACAAAATGTTTAATTCTTTATTTAAAGTTGATGATTCTCTACTATATATATGTATGTACGCATACAGTCTTTTTAAGAGGTAACACGAGATAAATTTACACGGTTTGTTCCAGAAAGAATGGCGGCGGCTGAGAACGGAGAGTTGAACGAGCAGGAGCTGAGTGAGCTGGATAAGCTCCAGCTGACGATCAACCAGAAGTCCGACGAGACCCTGGAATGCACCAGGAGGATGAGGGAGATGTGTGCGGAGGCGAAGGTGAATTTTATCAAACAATAGACGATTAGTTTAATCCACACTCATTTAAGAGTTCGGTTCTTGTCCCAGCCACGATGAACTAGAGGTCCTGGTTAACGTCTAGTGAGTCATAACTTCACAATTTACAATGTAGAGTTTTCGTATTTTCTCTGCCATACTTTTTGTTCTTATTATTTAAGTTTTTAGGTATATCTTACCCTATTATTGGTGGATTTTGAAAAAAAAGGAAATAAACAAACTTTGTTTATTTTTACGCCTTAAAAACCATTTTAACACAAAATAATGATTCTAATTTCCCAGCTAATTAATCATGCCTAACTTATATAAATTAATTTCAAGCTTATACCCTGTTTTTATGAATTAAAAAATAATCTTTTTAAAGCAAATTTTAACCGTAAATGAATCACCATGATGCGTAACGGAAAAGTTTTATCTTTTTTACGGTTCGGATTTTGTACGCCTAAAATACTTTTCAAATTTTACATAATTTTGGAAAATGAAAGTATTTTCATGAGTTTGTTTGATGTAAATCATGCATATTCAACCCATGTAAACAAATAATTACATTAATATTTAATGCTGAAAGTCCCTATTTAAACCTCCGGTCATAAAACTTTAATGAAGACCTCGATTCAGAAATCAGCGGAACTTCTGTTTTTCATTTATTATGAAAGAGGACTCCATGTTTAATTTCAATTCAGAAATTCTTTACAAAATATCCTCACAATGGATGGAAGTTACGTTTGGCATATTTTGGTTTCAAATAAAGGAAATACCAATCTTGATATTTTTGATAAAAGCCAGATGGTGGATGGTATGCGAACCAAGAAAAAGTATAGAACACTGCAGTATTCTAATACTAGAACTATATGGCTCAATAGAGGACAATAACAAATGTGTAAAAACATTTTGCACAAAAACTATACATTCATGAATTTAACTTGGAACATTTGATTTGGTAAAAAAATAAAAAATTACAGACTAAATGTTTGGTTGGTTGGGACTACGACAAACTTGCAATCAAGGTATTAAAGCAAGGCAAGTTAACTTCTGTTGCGTATTCTCTCCACACAAATTGAAACCAGTTCTCTCTGGGCTGTGTTTGTAATCAAGAATAGATGCATCAATGATGTTTCGAGTAGGATATTTAATCATTTAATTTTGATAATTTTGATAATTTACATAATAGTTTCCTATGACCAGAATATTCCATTGATTTTTTATGTGAAAGATGGATCCCATGTCAGGCTGTGACATCCGTCTTGTGCTTACTTTACAGTACACTGCACAGTACAAAAAATGCGTAACTATCTTTACAATTACATTATAATTCTTTGCTTGCAAGTGTTATCTTTGCCAGTGTTACTCTTCTTATATATAAGATATACGTAATTTGTCATAAATCCCATTTTAATATTTTATGTCAAACTTTTATTTTCTATGTTAAAACATTCCCAGTCTGTCCTACACGTAGCTTTCAGCCCCCTAGCCTGTCCTACACGTAGCTTTCAGTCCCCTAGCCTGTCCTACACGTAACTTTCAGCCCCCTAGCCTGTCCTACACGTAGCTTTCAGTCCCCTAGTCTGTCCTACACGTAGCTTTCAGTCCCCTAGTCTGTCCTACACGTAGCTTTCAGCCCCCTAGCCTGTCCTACACGTAGCTTTCAGTCCCCTAGTCTGTCCTACACGTAGCTTTCAGCCCCCTAGTCTGTCCTACACGTAGCTTTCAGTCCCCTAGTCTGTTCTACACGTAGCTTTCAGTCCCCTAGTCTGTCCTACACGCAGCTTTCAGCCCCCTAGCCTGTCCTACACGTAGCTTTCAGCCCCCTAGCCTGTCACAGCTGCAGAGTTCGGCCCCGCCCTAGTGTGTCCTAGCTGGTCCTAGCCCCAACACGTAAAGTATACAATTCGAGAAAAAAATAACAAAGCTTAAAATTGTAACCTTCCAAATTCTTTAAATGGTTTTAAAATTAAAGTTTTGTTGATTTGTAGACATTATTTCGTATGTTTTGTAATCATTATCATATTTGATTTCTTGTGGTTCAACAGTAAAATGTAAATTTTTGTAGTACAAGCTAGGTTTTTAAATCATATTTTTGTTGATTTAGAGGCATTATTTCTTATGTTTTTTTATTATATCATCTTCCTAGCCTTGCTATCATCATGTATAATTTGTTATTGTTCAGAAGTAAAATGTAAATATTTGTAGGGTTCCAACATAGAATATGACTTTAAAGAAGATCTTGCATTCGTCAAATATAACAATAAACATTTTAATTTGATTTTTAATGCTGAATGATTTGACAAGTTTCTAGTTGCAGTCGCGGGGAACCAAGAAAGGACATAACTCGTCACTGAAGTCTCATGCATTGTGGGTAACCCTGTATCCTGAACACTTTTATAACAATCTGCAGAGATACTATCAGACAGTATATATATAGTACAGTTGGTTTGAGAATAAATTGGTTAAATTAAACTTCTATTGGCTTAAATTCTAATCCAAGGAAGCCTGAAACGATTTAAAATTTATCTTGCTAACCTACCTTCAAACAATCTGAGAGAGAAAAGAAAATATATCAAACCGCCGTCTATTCTTCTTTCAGCCACACAAAGTACGGACACAGCATCTAAAAACAAGCAAAATCAAAAGATTTAATTAATTATATACATATATTCTCTGTTAAAATAGTATACTAACGGCATCTTTTAATTCAATTGTTATAACAATCGTTTTAGTATCATTGATAAGAAGTTATCCGCTGGAACTATAGCAGGGCATTTAGGTTTATTTTTCTGCGCTGGATCAAATCTATAGTGGACATCAGCTAGCTTTGCCTGGAAACTAAACACACGCTTAACTTAGAATTCTTAAACCAAACTAAGAACATTTTTCTGAGTTCCGCAATCAAAATTTGAGGCAAATCTGACAAGGGATTCATAAGTTATGGTCGGACAAACAGAGTTATTACTACTTACATATATAGATTATTGTATTTGTATTATGTACAGCGTTGTGCCGATAGTGTTTATATTATTTAGAGATATACATATAGTACCTTAGGGCATACCTGTAACACAGGTCCTGTAACTGGAGTAAGGATGGCATATAGAGTACCTAGAGAAAAGATGGTATATAGAGAACCTCGAGTAGGATGGGATATGGAGTACCTGGAGTAAGGACGGTATATAGAGAACCTCGAGTAGGATGGTATATGGAGTACCTGGAGTAAGGATGGTGTATAGAGTACCCGGAGTAAGGATGGCATATGGAGTACCAGGAGTAAGGATGGTATATATCGAGTACCAGGAGTAAGGATGGTATATATAGAGTACCAGGAGTAAGGATGGTATATATGGAGTACCTGGCGTAATGATGGTATATAGAGTACCAGGAGTAAGGATGGTATATATCGAGTACCCGGAGTAAGGATGGTATAAAGGGTACCTGGAGTAAGGATGGTATAAAGTAGTCCTGAATATAAAAGTAGGATCTGGAGGTGGGACTGCAGCAGGAATATTTAATAAAATTTGGATTATTCTAATCTGTAGGGGATTCAAGTATTCACCAGGTAGATAGATAAATAGATAGATAGATAGATAGATAGATAGATAGATAGATAGATAGATAGATAGATAGATAGATAGATAGATAGATAGATAGATAGATAGATAGATAGATAGATAGATAGATAGATAGATAGATAGATAGATAGATAGATAGATAAATATAAAGATAGATAATATTTACACTGTACATGGTTTAGGACAGTGGGATGAAAACACTGATTGCTCTGGATGATCAAGAGGAGCTGATAGATAAGTTTGAATCAGCGGCTGATGGAATAAACCAAGATATGGCGCTAGCAGAGAAAGCTTTAAAGGTTAGAACGCTTCAACTTCTGAATCTATAAATTGACTCAACTTTGAGGAAAATTGATGAAGTTATCACTCTTGTTCTATCTTAAATCTAATTATTTTTGAGTACCAGAAGAGAAAAAAGGAAATCGTCAGAATTCACCAGTTTTCCAGATAGAAACACGACAATATCTTCCGTATTATTTCTCAGATAAATGTTTAAATGATATCTTGTGAATCGAACATGGACCAGTTTTAAAAATCCCTTTTAGAAACGTTCGATTCTTTGAATAAAGTATGAGAAAAAAGTATCTAAAAAAATATGGCGGTTTTCAACATACGCGGTAAAAAATGTTAAAAACAATCGTTAGAAATGCTCAAGCTAAGTTTTCAAAGATAATAAAAAATATGATTTTTGGTTGGAATAGCGAAAATAGCTTTGTTTTAAACGTTTATATTGTATGTGTAATATTACTAGTTTCTGAATCTTATGTGATTGTAATATTTGAGTTTGATATCAAACTAAAGATGAAGATGAAGGAATAGAATTTCGTCTTTGACTGACAACTTCGGGAAAATGGTAGAATTTTATCAAGAGATAGAAATCCAGAGAAGCACTTAAACTTAATAAGAAAGTTATGAACCCATTTTTATGATTTTTTTTTTATAAAAATACTTAAGCTACAGGAACCTTCCATGCAAACATGGTAATGTTTGATTCACAACAGTACCCTCAAAACCTTTATCTGATCCATAATTTTAAAGACATTGTTTTTTTTTTAGGTTTTATCAGTGTTAGTTCTAATAATTCATGATGTTTTCCTGAAGTAGAAATACACAAGTCACTTTATTGTTATAGAGCAACCACAATTGAAAATAATCAGTTTTAAAAAACAAAACATTGACATATAAGTCTTACTTGATCAGACAAAGCTTTTATGGGTACCGTTGTGAATCTGACATTGTCATTTTTGCATTGAAGATTATTTGAAATTACGCTTACTGTCCCTTTAATATGAATTTTGCCTATTAAGGATGCCTCAAGTAATCCCAGAAAATAATGATTTGATTTGATTTGATTATTGATTATTGATTATTGATTATTGATTATTGATTATTGATTATTGATTATTGATTATTGATTATTGATTATTGATTATTGATTATTTATTACAGTTCCTGTAAATAAGAACTAAAATGCAATGATAAAGTTCATTTCGTAAACACAAGTTCCTTTCGACTTCATATCATGTCAAACGTAAATTAGAAAATAATTGGAAAACAAAAAAGTTTACAAAGGATTTGAGCCCTTGCCACAAACTCAAATTTTCTAATTCCTATATCTTTGCAACCCAATGCCGTAGACCTTCGATATTTCAAACTATGAATTCTGGTAGATCAAATAATCTAATTTTGAAATATCAAAGGTTTGCACCATCAAGTTGCTAAGATATAAGAATTTGAGTTTGTGACAAAGACTCAAGTCCTTTGGAGCAATAAATACAGAAATACTAGTTTTCTTCGAGTTAAAATATTCTCCATTTTCTTTGTGCATTTTTTAAATCTAAATTTTGCATCGATGCATATTTATTCTAAACCATTTTTATTCTAAACCATTTTTGTTGGCAACAACACTGAAGTTTAAGTACTGTAAGCAGACATAACATTTTTCTGGTTTTTATCTTATTATTTATCTTTTTACCGAAAGAAAACATAATACATCAATGATATGGTAGAATACATTTCTTTCTGATGTTCAAGTCTAAATCCATATTTTATTCTCATTCAGGGTTTTATGAAAAAAGTATATTGGGCCCCCCCCCCTCCCCCCGCGTTGAATTCCTTTTAAAGAAACCGGTAATTTTTAAGCCAAATATTTGTTTTAAATTTACATAAAAAGCGTTTGATTTTAAATAGAACCTTCTGTGACACTAAAAGATAAGATTATTTCCTGTCTGAGTGTTTTAAATATAACCTGGAGAAAAAGAGAATATGTTGTATTGGTTTTCCTTGGAAGAATAAAACCTACGGAAGAGAGGTTTATTTACTTAGCTTTCATATCTACAGGGAGACTCGAAATTCTTTAATGGAAGTTTCGCGTAAAATAAAAGAGAATAATTGATTTGAATTCTGATTTTAAATATAAATAGTTTATCAAGGAATGTTATTGCCCGATGTGCTTTATAATTAAAATCAAAGATAAATGATAATGTAAATAACAAAATAGTCCCGTAAATACGCACCTGATATCAAGGATGTAAGGCAAGGAAAGTCATTTCAGAAGTGTACACATCTTTAGTACTGCAGTGTACTGTCCAAAGGTACTTGAATAGGGTAAGGTAGTCATACAATTCTAGCTTCTGTATCTTACCTACGTCATAACCCGGTACAGGGCACAAAGTGGACACTGGCGAGTATACGCATAATTGTGATTGGTATTTCTTTGGTGGTCTGAGAATTCCCCACCAATAGTTTTAATCAGTGACGTCAGAGAATACGTACCGTATCGACCTTTCATTCGTGCGCGAGCCTCGTTGGGATACCCTATTCCAGTACCCATGGTACTGTCTCTGGGCGCTAATGTAAACACAAGACGGATGTCGAAGCCTGACATGGGATCCATCATTCACATAAAAAATCAATGACATATTCTGGTCATAGGAAATTATTATGTGAATTATCAAAATTATCAAAATTTAATGCTTTTAACCTCTTCGGATACTAAACGAACACTGATGCATCTATTATTGTTTACAAATTCCGCCCAGAGAGAACTGGTTTCAATATGTACACAGAGTATACTCAACCGAAATTGACTTTCCTTGCCTTACATTCTTGCCTGATATCAAGTAAATTTGTTTATTATTGTTGTGATAAATACGGTTTAGAATTGGAAAGGTTCAGGACGGAAAAGGTTTAAGATAAAAAGATGCAGGACGGAAAAGAAAAGGATGGAAAGGATGGAAAGGACGGAAGGGATGGAAAGAACGGAAAGGAAAACCTAGAGCTTAAATATACATATTCTTCACAGAAAACCTAGAGCTTAAAAATGCATATGCTTTACAGAAAACCTAGAACTTAAATATACATATTCTTCACAGACAACCTAGAACTCAAATATGCATATTCTTTACAGAAAACCTAGAACTCAAATATGCATATTCTTCACAGAAAATCTAGAACTCAAATATGCATATTCTTCACAGAAAACCTAGAACTCAAATATGCATATTATTCACAGACAACCTAGAACTCAAATATGCATATTCTTCACAGACAACCTAGAACTCAAATACTCAAATATGCATATTCTTCACAGCAAACAACATGTCATCTCGAAAAGATTGTACTAAAAAATTTTGTCCATTTTCTTCAGCAACATTGCTGTAGAAATCATCAATGAATGAACTTTTAATTCTTTAAAATAAATTATTAATTAAAATTAAGTTACAGACTCAGTCCCTTAATAAACAGGGCCTATAAAAGAAAGTTGTTTACCAATAAACTCTGTAGTAATATTGTTTTATAGTCTAGTATAAGACCATGAAAGTAATGTTAACATATACTGTTCTACAGACTGCAGATATGGTTTTTCGATAATGATCTTTCATCTTCTTCTTCTGTTTTACTAATTCAGTCATCAGAAAAAAACTGTTCAGAAAAAATGCGCCAAATATGGATTGACGCGAGGGAGCCAGTAAAGATCTCACAATTTTGAGAGAATAGTTAAAAAATCTGTTTATTTTTAATATTTAATTGTTTTACCGGTTACACGTCATATCATTAAAAGAAGCTTTGAAAATGGGCACTTTTGAATCTTTTAAAGGACTTTTATTTTAATTTTTAAAAGTTATTTTCATAAAAATATTAAAACTGTGAATAGCGTTTTTAATCAGGATTTAAATGATGTGTTAAAATACCAAGATTCCAAGTCAAGAGCAAAATTCCTCACTATTAGTAACACAAAACTAAACTGAAAACAAAAATAAACTATAAACAAAAATTAACTGAAAACACTAAATATAAAAAACTAAAAGTTTTGAAAAAGGAAATTATAAAAAAAAATCCATCTCCATCTCTTGGGAATTTACTTAAATTTCCTGATTCTTGAAATGCTTCAACTTTTTCTTTAATAAATGTCGACGGTAAAATTCATAGTACAAACTAGAGTTTAAGGAAATGATTTTAGAAAAGACGGATTACTTGCAACAAACTCTAATTTTCTAATCTCTTAATCTTTGAAACCCGATTTCTTCAACCTTAGATATTTCAAACTAAAAATTCTGTTAGATAAAAAGTCTAAGTATGAAATGTCAAAGGTTTACACCATTAGGTTGCAAAGATATGGGAATAAGCAATATGAAGTTTGCCGCAAAAACTCAGTTTCTTTACCATGAAAAAATATTGTTTTGAATTTTATGTCAAATCTCTATTCCAGGTATTTTAAGGTTTATAAAGAGTTAAGCCTGTATACTCTCAATGTCCTGTATCTAATATAGACGGATAGTCTTCTACAAGATATATGTGATTGTATAGATTTCAAACACCAGTTTTCTTAAGCTAGAATTGTGGGAGAGGAGAAGGGGTGTGGGAAGTAGGAGGGGGGGGGGGAAGGGTTGGAAGGGTGGAAAGGGAAGGATAAGGATATTGATATTTTTATATTCTCCTTATATTGCAGTAATTCTCTATCAGTCCCTGTAATCTTCCTTTTTATAATCCCTGATCTCCTCCGGCCCAAAGTCCAAGCAAATCACTCCTCTTTCCTTAGCTCATGTGGTCCATAGGCCTTGAAATCCTCCGCTAGTCCCTGTAATCATCCCCTAGTCCCTGTAATCCTCCCCTCGTCCCTGTAGTCCTCCGGTAGTCCCTGCAATCCTCCGCTAGTCCCTGTAATCCTCCCCTTAGTCCCCATAATCCTCCCCTAGTCCTTGTTATTCTCTGCTAGTCCCTGTAATCCTCCGCTAGTCCCTGTAATCCTCATCTAGTCCCTGTAATCCTCCCCTAGTCCCTGTAATCCTCCCCCTAG